ACTTTTTCGTGGATACTTGATGGTGTTGGTACTAATTCTATCGTGAATTTCTAGATACTTTTGGAGTCCATAGAAAAATATGCCATAGTATATCTGAAACATCTTGCGTTGGGTTCGCTTTCAGAATGGATTAAATAAAAAAATTACAACTTAATAGCTTCTCTTTAACCATTTTAATACGAAGTGACTAATGATAACACGTGATGGTAAAGTTGTAAACAGGTTTTAGTTCTTATAATAGATATTGAAATTAGAAGCAAAAAGTTGAGAAAAGAAAAGAAGGCGAGGGAAGAGTAAGGGGTTGGTAGGGACAAGGAGAGATAAGAAGGCAAGAAAATCTATCCTGATGGAGGACGGGGTAGATAAACACTTAACCACAGATTTGAGAACAAATAACCATCTCTCTTTTGGGGAATCAAACAATGACGATAACCTGGAATTTGTCTATTATGAATCTTATTAGAATACACCTCACCTCTAGAATTTAAAGGCAGCCTTTCAATTTCAAAGTTTAACGGTTCACCTGAGGCTAAGAGACCGGGAGTTTTCCCGATAAATACATGAAAAACACACCAAGACGGCAATAACGGTCAGTGAAAGTAAGCGCTTCATTAGCACAGGTAAAATTTGGTTTTACACCAAGAGGTCTGGAGAGAACATGTAAATGTTTACATATGATTTCGTTTCTGTGCTATCACGTTTAATTAAGTTTGCTGAAAACTCTTGAAGAGAAAAGTCATCCGCAAACATGCTAGTATCAGTTTTCCAATGTATAGAGTAAAAACACTAGTTGACCTCGGACTCATCCTTGTGGTACACGATACAGAGTTAAAGAAGAAATAACAAGTCCATATTTTACAGAGTTGATACTTGGTCAAATAACTTCAATAACCTGAACAGTAAGTTTTCCTAAATACCATACTGGCTGAATTTGAATAACACTTTTTTTTGCCAGACTTTACCAAATGCCTTGAAAGCGTCACAAAACACAAACAATGCACAAAACTTCTTCTCATTGGCAGAAGTCGACGTGAAAAAGTCATTCACCTGGTACATTGTCAAATGACCTGAGAAAAACCCGGAAAATCAGTTTTGTACCTGGCATAATTACAGACAGAATGTGATAAAATCTATATATGAAAATGTGAAGTCGTGTGTGAAGTTGCATGGTAAATTGTTTCCAATGTACGACTTGCACGTCGGTTTATTACAAGGTGAATCTTTATAACCGATTGTGCTTTCCTTCTTTGTTAATGACATGGAATCAGAACTTCTTGTATCCAATTGTCAAAGCTGTAATATACAACTCCTTAATTTTTTTTTATCGTGTATGCAGATGATACTGTGCTATTTTCTGAAGACACTGTTGAGCTCCAAAATATACCAGATTTTTTGAAGAGTTACTCGGATCATTGGAACTTGGCCGTGAATGTCGATAAGACCAAGATAGTAGTTTTAAGAAAAAGTAAACGATTATTACCAAATGAACGGTGGTATTTTGATGGGAAATACACTGTATATAGAAATTGTAGATCAATTTTGTTATTTAGGATTGGTACACAATTATAACGGTAAATTTACAATAGCACATAATAACATAGCTGCACAAGGTAGAAAGGTGTATTGTCTCCTCAATCGTAGGATTAACAAGTTTGTTTTGAATGTATAAACTAAGTTATCATTACTTGATACTTAAGTATCATGTATTTTGAATTATGGTTGCGAGGTCTGGGGCACTGATATAGCACCACAGATTGAAAAGGTACATTTGTCGTTTTTAAAATCCCTTTTGGGTGTGAAGAAAAATGTTAATAATTCTATGGTGTATTTCGAGTGATGTCGCTTTCCTTATGTTCAGAGAAAGGTTACTATTGTTAAATATTGGCTACAACTTTTGAAGACAGATAATTGTATATTAAGAGCTTGTTATTATGAATTAGTTGATCTTGATACCAAGAAGCCTAATTGTAAATCAAATTGGATTTTTCATTTGAAACTAGATTTATTTAGATTTGGTTTTGGTGATGTATGGTTGGCACAAGGTGTTTCAAATGAAAAGTATTTTCTTGTTATATAAACAACATGTACAGGATATATTTATTCAAGACTTTATTTTTTCAATTTCAATTTTATTCTCTTTCACAAAATAAATTGTACAGGGAAACATATTTACAATAATATTTACAAACAGAGTAGTGTTCCAAGTCAATATATGATATTTTGTTAATAATGCTGTTAATATGACACAAGTGATGTCTATTGTCCAGTTAAGTACAATAACTAGGCTAGAACATTAGAGAGGACAAATAGTGGTATTCATCATTCTTATAAAAGTACACAGTTAATGTTTTAACATCAGTAATATTCATTAATTTATTAAACTTGATAGTGTTAGGCCTAAACCAGAAGTATTTATCAATATATAAAACTATGCTATTAAAGAAAAAAGGACATTGGAGTAGGTAATGAAATTCATCACCACTATCCCCTAGATCGCAATATGGACATTTCCTTTCTTCATACTCAATACCGTGCCATCTTCTGGTTTCAGCAATATACTTTTGGTTAGTAGTACGAAATTTACATGAGTAATTCTATCTTTTTCATTTAAGTTATCCAAATAATATTCGAAATAACATTTTGTTTTGAAAATTCTATAACATATAGCTTTTGAGAAATTTTATACATCGCTATTCCGTTTTTGTAAATATTGGTCAACAAGTCTTTGTTTCACAGTGTTCTTTAACCATTTAGGATTAAATGTTAACGCATATTGAGAGGTCCATATATAGGTAAAACCACATTCATTCAAAATACTCTCAACAAAACTTGAAACTTCCTGAGCATCATAATTATAAAGTTTCTCTACATTCAGATAAAACAGACGCTAGCTTACCATCTTGAATAAATCCGTTTCGGCCACCCAATATCCAAACACCGAAATCACCAACAACACCTCTGGTTCAACATTTTCACCAAATTTTCAATCACAGAACAGTTCAGTATTATATCCACTATCATTTAGCCTGAACTTAACAGGTAAAACCTGCTCGAACCCTTAAGGCCCTCACCTTTATCGCACTGCGAGATTCAGGTCAACTTTATAGGTAGACCGGACATTTTGCAGTCCAACAAAACCTGTAGCTTCTGACGTCGATTGCAACATAAATGAGTAAGAAGTAGATTTGAAAGCTCCTCAAAGTGTACATTGTATAAACATTGTATAGAGTTGATCGGTTTGTTACAAAATCGTACCTCAACAAACCACTTACTATGAAAGTAAAAATGATACTGTTTAAGTATAGACTGAGCTCACATAAATGTTGAAATGGGTAGATACCATGGTGGTAATATTTCTCAAAGAATACGCACTCTGTGCGACAGTAATGAAATAGAAGATGAAATTCATTTCAGTTTACTATGCCCATCTTATTCAGAATTACGTATCTTTTATATCAAGCCTTACAGTTATCGCCGGCCATCTGTATTCAAAATTATTTAACTTTTATCTTGTAAAAATGTAAAAACTCTCAGGAATTTTGGTAGGTTTCCGATTCATGCTACGGAAAAAAAGAATTATTAAATACTTGAATTATTTACAACTTATGCTATTCGAGATATTTTTAAGCAATTGGGTGTTTCATAATTAATCTAAATATTTTCATTTATCAAAAGTAACACTTCTGAGTACTGGTGCTTCAAAACACCGCTCTGTTTAAAATTTGCTTGATATGTATGCATACTTATGAATTTTGTGTCTTAATCTTATTGGTTTTGGCTAATGTTCTCCGCCATCTTGTGTAAATGTAAATGTTATTATTTGTATGTATATTTTCAATCTTATATGCTGTTGCATACGGAATCACATAGTTTTAGAAACATAATGAGAAGGGAAGCTGGGTGCCAGTTTTCTTAAATAAACATAAATAGATAAGTAGGCCGATACTATTTTCAGATAACTTTATTATCCAAAATGATGGAGGTCTGAAACATACAAAAAGTAGCATTGTAAATAAAATCAACTATCTGTTGGTAAGACATAAGTAATAGACTAACAAGTAAATACATAATCCTCTAATAAACTTTACTTTATATTGCATGAAAAGAACATTCATGGAAAAGAACGATAAAAACGGATAAATGAGAAGAGAGTGTTCACACTGTTAGCTTTCGGAGTGTGATGACTAATTTTACCTGGACCAACTTTTTTTTCCAACTGTCAAAACTAGTTTATCTTTATCGTTTTTTCCTTAGTCTTGACAAAACTTGCGTTTCAAATCCAACCATGGTTGGTCCGTAGCAGAGTCATTCAATCGAAGAGGAATCAATGCCTGCTTTCTAGGTTATATTTCATCTAACCCATAACAAGCTTCGGGTAAACTTATTATGTGCAAAGTGGTGGGTCAGGGCAGTTTAACAACCACAATCACGCTCTAACGTCATCACAGCGATATTGTGAGCATCCAGATGGTCCATCATAACTACCTGTCGAGGGTTACTAAATGGTAATAACTTGAATGATAGATAATGGTCACCATCAAAAGTGTTCATGTTTATTTATCAAATGTTTAATCGAGGGAGAAAACCCGATGATAGAAAAAATGGAAAGCAGTAAGAAACAAGATAGTCATTTTTAATGACATATCTAGTTGCTCTAGTCAATGGACGTACAGTCGAAGAGAGATAACTCTTTTAGAATTTAGTCTATGCTAAAACTAGAGGAGCGAAAATTGGGGAGACAAATGGAAATTAAAAACGTTATAGTAATGCAACATTATGATAGTGATGTTTTGTAGATCTAAGTGATATTAATCGACACGAATGTCTAGCTGTGTTGGACAACGCAGGGACGTATTATACGTTTCTATGCACTTTATCCTTTAACGGACCTCTTCTTCCCTCTAAAACTGGGGAATCCCCAACCAGGAAGTAATTCCTCCAGGGGGAAAATGACGTCACAGAAAAAACTATGAGCCAATCGTCGATGAACTTCCGAAAACATGGCGACTGGTAGCAGGCATCGTGATAAACACTCGACGTTTCTGTACAATTTGCCGTACAGTATTACGATAGAACTCTGTCATGGCCTCGATATTGACCACGCTTGGGAACGTTTAGGTAGGTTATCACAAATTTACATTTACACTGTCTTTCATTCTTAAGTGGACAGTGATCGAATGTCAACAAGTTGTGAAGCTTGACGTAATATTCGTTTTTACTCCTGTGTTTTTGTTTGACAAGTTGTGTATCTTCTGACATAGTTTGGACTTCGTTTTCAATACATATATATATTATATCGTAAGTAATGTCACATTTCTTACAAAATAAATTCAGATACATATAATTAGCCGATTACTTAATATTATCTTGTAATGATCAAGTAATATAAAGGCTTGACCCTACCCAATCTTGATCATGTGTTCCTGTTTCCGGTTTCACTTCCTAGTCTACTTCAACACGTACTTCAATAAAGTGACACTTTTCCTTCCAAGATAAAAGAAAGTTGATAAGAATTGAAAAATAAATGCTATCTTTTACCAAATAGTCAGTAATAATGTTAAAATATAGCATACAACATCATATTTTTCTTAAGATTTCCTAAATATCAACCCGGTGACTCCAAATACCACAACTCGTGTGATTTCGTTGGGCATCAGTTTGAAAGAAAAGGGAAAATACTAATTCCTATCGAGTGCCCAAACCAAATGAGCAAAAGAAGCATGCTCTGTCAGCAGAATGACAGACTGTATTTAACACTATATACAAGCAACACCAACCTTCTCCTATTACACTTCCAAATGTGATAACTCTATAAATATATGTTTTTGTTCTTGATGATGACCCATATACAAAGTATTGATAGTCTGGTCAGTTTTGACCTACAGACACAGATTTTTTCAGCACAAATTTATTATAAATGCATGCTGGTATTTATTACTACATCATAATTTACTACACACCAACAGTGACATACAACCTTCCATTTGATTGATCTAACAATAATTGTGAAGCACAGATTTAGTTTGCTGTGTTAAAGCAACTGGATACTAAGCACAAGTGAAGTTTCATTAGTAAAAATGACAGAAAATCCATCCCATTCATTCTGACTCATTCATAAGGCCTACTGTAACAGTTACAATATCATCTTTTCACACATTCTAACATTACCGACAAACTTATGGAGAAAGAGGAACTTAAATATACTACAAAGATAATCACCATCAACTCTCCACTTCACATTTTGATGACTCATTTGAGCTTTTGGTTATGATAAATTTCTCCAATGTTGAGATTGATCATCTGCCTCAACAAGAAAGATGGCTGCAGTATCTTAAGGCTTGGATCATTTTGAGTGGTTTTAATCAACAGAACATGGTCACCCATGACTGGTACCAAGTTTCCATTGACTACATCAAAACAATTGGCTGTATTGTAGTACAATCAAATCACCTCCAATTTAGTTTGAAAGGAAACCACAGCGTTTCCACTAATGGAATTCATTGTATCTGTTGGCCTATAGTATATAAGTTATATAATGTGACGATACCACTGGTTTATTATTGAGTGACATGCTTATGTTAATAATGTATTACTGATACAGTATGCATGTAAATACTGATAATTCCCTAACTTTACTGCTACATATAGATGTACAGCTGTCACAATAGCTCAGTCAATATTGTTAATCAGTGTAACCTCAGGTGACAATGCAAGGTGTGTAGTTTGTGTTCTCAGGAAACTGAGAAAGTGACTGCTTTGTGCTGTTGTGGATGTGTCCTTGAGCAAGACACTTAATCTCAAGTGCTTTTGAATAGCATGTTGTTCAATGAGTTATCCACCAGCTACTGCAAGGAGATCCTACCTCAAAATGGTCTGGCTGGCTGGCTAAATTATAGGTTGATAAATTCCGGAAATAAAGAAACATGATTTTTCCAAGTCTCTTCATACCTATATGTATACACATATATACTTATTTTGTTATTTGAAATAGGCTTGTTAAAAACAATTACTTTGACAACACACCTTTTACTGTTGTAGCTGGTGAGATAGGCTACCTTCATCAAGATGTAAAACTCTTTGAATTGGCGTACCGAGAACCTAATGGCAGCCCTACCAAAAAGCTACTCATGGATTGGGGCTGTAAAAACCCGACAGTGATGGATTTGTACTTGATCCTTAAAAGGCTTGACAGGCGCAGGGAAACGCAGGTTCTGGAGGCATGGTGTAAGTTGATATTTCTATTTCTGAAGAAGGCCAATTATCAAGTTACATACACCTATTGGACTTGATGACTACACTGTGTAATCATAAATACACATTACACAAATACAAAAATCAGTGTGCTTAATTAATATAAGCCTGTACTTTTTTACATGAAACCTTTGAAGCAGAAAACACAATTTGAATTTTTTAAAAAATGGCAAATTTCTGTATTATATGTACTATTTATTGACTGCAGGGTTTACTGAAGGTTAAGACTGAAAAGGTTGAATTTTGTTTTGGTTTAAATATCTATCCTTTTTTGCCAGAAGAAAGGTGGATTCACATTTATATGAGCAGATATAAGTGTTTGGTTGAATATACTATAATTACAATTGTTTGTTTCTCATGTTACTGACTATGAGTAGTAAGATTGATTTGTAAGTAACTGAATGATCAATGTTATCTTAGTTTTGCTATTTAAACTTTTGAAGGGGCAGTAGTTAGTTGTAATTAACTGACATAAAACAGAACTGAAGCAGCATACATGTACATATGTACAACAGAAATGATATGGAAACATGTAGATTTTAACAATCCTAATTAGGCAGGTTTAGTTGGTTACATGCTGTAATGATGGGAATTCGTTCAAAAGATTTTACCAATTTTCAATCTCTCTCAAATGATGTAATACTAGCAGTACCAACGATAGCATTTAATGGAATTATAAAAAAATGTCCTGATGTAACATGATCTTGACCGTGTGTCTTGTTACAGTTGAAATTAAAATTATTTAATTTTGGAGTTACTTAATATTTCCCTACTTGAGAAGAATTACTTCTTGATCTACATTGCAGATGTCAGAGGGTTTCTCCGATTTTAAATAGCATATTTTTACAACATTATTGTGTTGTTTCTAATCTCAGTCATGAATCACTTTGAATCACAGTATTGCTCTCTTGCTACCATTGTCAATGTCAAGATTTTATAAGGACAAAAGGAGTATAAGTTTGCTGATATATAAGTTTGTCACTGACTGCATGTATATTGCCATTTCATTATAAAAATACTCAAGGTATTTGTGAAAGTTCCTGTGGGATCATCAACATTGGCAGTCTGAACTTCAAATTAAAGTTTCTGTATAATGAAATGACTTAAAAACCATATGTACACATGGGTCAAGTTATCAGAGTTACTTCCCCTACACCATAGTCAGTATGGAAGTAATAAGCCAGATGAGGACTGCAAATGATATTTTGGTTTTTGAAAACATGTCAGGCACATCAAATGGAAAGCGCTATTTACCAAGTATCAACTTTCTCAAGGAAAAGTAGATATTGAAATTATGTTTTAGAACTGTGAAATTCTGATAAAACTTTATTTTACAAAGATATATCAATGAACCTTTCCTTTTGTTATCATTATTTTGCAGTCTTTCACTACAAACCTTTAGGTTCCTGATCCTTTCCTCTAAGTTATCATATCAACAGTAAAATGGAACAGTCCAGAATGGACACTACTGGCCCCCTCTCTTTTTTTCATTATCTATAAAGTTAAGGTTAGGTTTTGAATATGTTGGTGGGTTTTTATAAAACATTTTCTAATTATATTTAAAGCATTAACAGATATTATAATAGACAGAGTAAATTTTATTGACAGACTAGTTACAGGGTCTTGAATCATGACAAATCCATTGTACATACATAACTGTATATGCAATTATATATGGTTAACATTAGCACTAAGAATCCATCACAGAAGTATTAGATATTTAGTATTCCAGAGGTGGTTTGGATGAATCTTAATTCTTCCTTATCATATTAAAGGCATGCATATAATTTTTAACTAATTAATGATATCAGCTTTAATCATTCTGATTTCTTTCATTTTCAACATTACAAAGAAGTAATAATTGCAAATTGCTGTTGCTATGTTAATTGTACATGTATTTGACTCACCAACCATAATGCGATAGACTACATCAAAGTTTAGTTATTGTAATAAATATTCATGAAGGTCAATATACATGATATCAATAGAACAATAACAGTTGTCCTGTTTATATTTTTTAACTGTTTATTTTCTTCAATTTCTTATCAAAATCCTCTGAACCAGTTTCAAGAAATATTTGCAGAAACCATTCTTGGAATAAAATACACCATAATAGTGAATAATATGGTCCCTACCTCACAGGGACCTGAGGGGTGGGGCCAAAAGGGGTCAAATTGATTTAAACTTCAAAAATCTTCTTCTCAACACCCGGATATTGTAGAATCGGATACTCTAAATGGACGGCAGCATCTTAAGGTGCTTTACAAATATTGTAAGCTTCATGGCTCAACGGTCTGACGTTTCCTACATGTAGGGAGGGGTAAATTAAATTTTACTATAGTTTATATAGGAGAAATAGATTTTTGAACATAATTTGATTAATTTCGATTGGAAATATTTTAAGGTTGGTAAGAATTATGAGGAAAGGATGATGGCTATATGATATGCCCCTATTGATCCTGTCTGACACCCAGGGGCTGATGGGTGAGGCCAAAAGGAGTCAAACTGACTTGGATTTCAAAAATCATTTTACTATAGTATATATAGGCAAAATAGATTTTTTAGCATAATTTGTTTAATTTCCATTGGAAATATTTCAAACTTAGTTAGAATTATGAGTGAATAATGATGGCATGATGATGTGCCTATATTGATCCTGGCTGACCTTCAAGGGCTGATGTATGGGGCCAAAAGGGGTCAAATTGACTCAGATTTCAAAAATCCTCTTCTCAACACCTACATTTGAGGTGCTTTAATTACTAAAATGGGTCTTACTTTTTTCCTGGGGTGGAATTTAACTTTACTGTAATTTCTATAAAAAAAATGCATTTTTGAGCATAACATTGTTTATTTCCAACGGGAAATAACTTTCTAAGAATTATTAGTATAGTATGACAGTTTTGATGATATGAATGTATTGACACCGGTTTACTATCATTAATCTTTAACCTTTATTTACAGTATTGCTTATCTGAGGTGACTATCAAGACTGCTGGGCCTATTGTTTTATAATTAACACCTATAAATCAGAAGTAGGGAGTAAACATATACCAGAGTTAAAAAATTTGGTGGTCAATAAATTGTATTATTGCTGACTAGTTTCACCCGTAATGGGCTGTAAGGGCAATGTGACATGCATTTTGATACCCTGAATTACATCAAAAGTGGTTCAAAATGTGACATTTTCCTAACTGTCAGTTGTGTAACAATAATGTGTCGATCATCTGATGGATTAAGAGAGATGTAGGGGCTGAAAGTTATATTGCAAATTCAAAATCAAAAGTTGACTCAACATTGTTGTCGATATTTGGAGTGTTAAGTTGTGTGGTTTTCTGGCTGGTATAAGGATACCACAAGGGTGTGAAGGGTGTCTGCTCCAAAATTAGATGCTATGAATTCAGAAACGGAGTTACGAACCTAACTAGGGCAGTCGCACATGTGAGGTATGCTTATTCAAATATGGTAGCAGAAAGTATTTTTTAAATTTGAAATTAAAATTAAAATTATGCATATAACATTAGCAGCTCGATATCTAACATAAGAAAGCGCAAATTTCATGTGACATTTTTCCCTTCCTTGCCTTCCCAAATGTTTGACTAACTTGTTACTTGAATGTCATGTGAGTTATTCCCCTTCCTTATCTTCCCAAACATTTGACTGACTTGTTACTTGTATTTGATGTGAGTTATTCCCCTTCCTTACCTTCCCAAACATTTACATTACTTGACATTATTTATTATGGAATTATGCATTATTAATTATTAATGTTGAATTCAGGTTTAAAGAATTTTTTATACACATACTAATAGTATTGCATACATGGATTGTCTGGGTTGACATGAATATTTGAGCACCAGAAAAATGTTAGCCCTCAGGTACCATAACACATAATACTGGAAACAAAGACAGTAATGATTTTTTGATATGCAGAAAAATAATTGACAAGTTAATGAATGATAAAAAATCTGCCAAGTCTGGTGATCAAATTCAAGTTCTAAACACAGAAGTTTTCACACTCCCAAGCCCAACCTGTTGCTACTAGGGAGTTTTCTAAATGAATCCATGTTTATTTTGTTTTTGGGCAAACAATAGCATCCAATGGGAGTGAATTTATTACAAAGCAGTGTTGTTGTTGGAACTTTTCCGATTGGCCTTGCAGACATTGAAGGGAGTTCCAATCGTAAACATGTATCAGTTTGTTTGTTTGTACAATAAATCCATTCTTCTTGACATACATTTATATGCAAATTTATTTGCTTATTTATAAAATATGTAACAGGAACAGGGATGTTAAATCTCATCAATTATTCATGACATGATGTCCTTCCAAATCAATTACAGAGTATTTTGTGATACTGATATGTTATTTATTATCATTTGAAAATATCACTTTTCATTTAAACAAACATATTCTTTGTTTCCTGTAGAATTTTTTTTCTCCCTCAGGGGTCCGGAAACACACATGTCCGGTCGTCATGGACAAGTGAAAATTGTCTCGGACAACCAGATTTATCTTTGTCAGTCGTCCATCGGACGAGTACCTTTTTTCCAATGATATTAATGTTACAACTTAAATTTCAATAAAAATGTTAAGAAAATTAAAAACAAAGAAACGTGTTTATGGTACTTCGGAAACAAAATATTCCAGTCAGCACTCTAACTTTTGATTACACCATGACATCAAATATAGCATTCGGAATACCTTAGCCATTTTCCTGCGGTCATACTGATGTCAGGTGCTCTCGGGCGGTACCAACATGTACCGGTCTGTATTTAGCAGCACCTAGTCAGTAGAATATAAACAAACTCTACAGCTAGGCCTAAGTCGCGCATAATGTCTGACGCAAAGCAGCCATCATTGCATGGTTTTTTTCTCTAAAACTTAAAATAGAAATAGAAAAAAAGTCACATGTCACATCCTCGCTGATTAAGTTTGGACGAGTAAATTTCCAATCCGGACAAGTAAATTTTTC